CTTCCCGGACCCTCGCCTTCCGCGAACCTTTTCCTCCTTCCTCTTTCAGAGTGGTCCCCTGCAGCGCCGCTGACCTTGGGATTTGCAAGTTACGGGGTGGGGAGGGGGCTGGGGGAGAGCAATAAATCTACAAAAATGTAAATGACTATTCCTCGCCTTTCACCCTAAGGAGCAACAGACTTTCGTTTCCTTCTTGCAAGTGCGATTTACCAATAGGTTGGACATGTCAAAGCACTTGTGTGTGTTTCCCTTTGTTATTACTGAAGAAAAATACCAGGAATACATAAAACTTACACCCGCCCAAAAGGCCCAATGATACCACAGCACACCACATGGCCTGACACCTGGGCGCTTTAGGGATGCCTCTAGAATCATGCATTTCCTTATGTTGCCATTTCGGAAGAATTTTGTTGGTGGGGTAATAAGAGATTTTAAACAACTCCCCACTTCCAAAAAAACTAGCAGACTTGTTTTCATTCATTCCCAATGTAAGACGTCTGCTTCTCACCCATGCTTATTGCTTTGTAATAATCTGTTAATGAAACAGAAGAAGAAGAAAAAAAGACCTTTACAGTAATAAATTGATGTCCGAACAGCAATAAAATACCTCATTGTTGGGTGGTGAGAATGTGACGTCAGGGAAACTTAAGCCAATCAGCACACAGATAACATGGGTTAATTTACACATTGTATTTCTATTGGCTATACCAAGATAAAGCTTTCCCTGTTTAAAGCTTAAAAATATATACTTCACTGTCATGATGTCACACTCATTACACAAAGCCCTATGTTGGTAATACTGAAATGGTTACATTTTCCTAATTTGTTTTCGAATGTCCTAAATCCATTTAAAAAAAGATAATGATCTTTTTAAAAATAAAAATATAAAACATAAAGCACCTAACTCTGGCATTCCTTTAATCTACAAGAGTCAATCCTGCAGTAGTACTGGAGTAACTTGAGAACATTTCCATTCAAGTGAAACACTCCACTTTTTTTTGCAAAACAAATTCAGAAGAAATCAAAACCATATGATGGTTTACAATTTCTATGTGAAATGTCAAATTACTTTGTTTTAATCCTCACATGAAGATATGTTTTTATTGATTTTAGAGAGAGGAAGGGAGAGAGAGAAAAACATCAATGTGAGAGAGAAACATCGATTGGTTACCTCCTGTTCACAGCCTGACTGGGCATGAAACATCTTTGGTGTAGGGACAGGGCTTCAACCAGGGGAGCCACCTAGCCAGGGCTGAAATTCATTTTTATGGAACTAAAAATAAATTCAATTTGTGTTGCTCTTGTTTTTTTTTACTTCATTAGTGCCTCAATGTACTTTGCAAAGAGTTATTTCCTGAGGTTTTTATTTTAATTCTCATCCAAAGGCCTATATATTGATTTTAGAGAGAGAGGAAGGGAGAGAGAAAGAGAGTGAGAGAGAGTTGTGAAACATCAATTGGATGCACCCCGCCCAGGGATTGAACCCACAACCTAGGCACATGTCCTGACCAGGAATTGAACCAGCAACCCTTCAGTGCATGGGAAGATGCTCCAACCAACTGAGCCACGAGGCCAGGGCCTGAGTTTTTACAGTTCAAAAATCCATAGAATAAAAACAAAAACAAAATATTCTGAATATTCACGATTGGCCTAATCCTTGCATGGATTAGGGAAAGATTATTTAAAAGTAAATTAAAAAGGTGACTGCCCTGTCAGGCCATGAAGCAATGATTTATTCTGCCAAAAGATATAGGACCAAGGGTTTATATATACTTTAAGAAACAGGTATTGCTTCCTTAAAAATAAAGGAGAGGATATGTGTGTATGCAATATCTTTCATATCTACAGCTCAGGGTATATTAAGGCTATAATTTTCCTTTGCAAATGAGTACAGTTACATCTACTAGTTACTCAGTTTCTCTAGCTATTAGATGAGAATGGCCTTTTTTTTTTTTTCCTCACTAGGGGGTTCAGGAAAATAATGAGATAGTTTCCAGTTAGTTCATTAACTCTATTGGAGAAAATATTAAAGTCTACACCTTCCACCAACAGGGGTTTTAAAAAATGGACTTAATAACTAACAAAAATTTCGTATCATCTACTAGTACTCAAATGTAAAGTTATTGGTTCAAAGTGCTCAAATCATAACCTTGTTTGATCTTAGCTAATTTCTTTTTTATTCCTTATATCATCAAGCCTAGAAAATTTTTGTTGAGAGTAGGACTAAGCAAACAACAGCAAAATATTATATCCACCCTAGGTTTGAAGGATCCTAAAGGTTTTCAAGTTCTGGGCATATTACATTTACTACATTGATCATTGGATTAGGAAATCTGATATAATTTGCTTAATTTGGTTCTTATAATAATATATATAATTTTATTTAAAACAGCAATTATCTTCTTTTCAAAATTAGTAGGACATTTCAGATTTTTGCCAAGTGATGCACAATTTCTTGAAGGTCAAATGCAATATTTTGATTCTATGCATTGTTTATGTGAAAATGTGTGTCAGGTTGTAAATAATTTTGGCAAATACACAGATTGATAGTCTAGGATGAAACGTTCTAAGAAAATATTTTTTAATCATTTATTTAAAGTGCCATCTCTCCCACTTGTCATTAAATCTTTAAAAACATGCGTCTTTGGTATTCTCAATTCTTACGAAAATCTAAAACTGTATCTGAAAAAGAGACTTAAACATTTTCTGAAAGCTATCTTATTAAGAAAGGCTCCCATTGGGGACTTTTTCAGAAAAACATGTTAATTTTTATCGAATTTATTGGGTAACATTGGTTAATAAAATTATATAAGTTTCAGATATACAATTCTATTACACATCATCGTATATTGTATTGTGTGGTGTTCACCTCCCCAAATCAAGTCTCCTTCCATCACCATTTAATCCCACCACTTAATCTCTTCTAAATCCACACACCCCTTTTCTTCTGGTAATTACCTTACTGTTCTCTGTGTCTATCAGGTTTTTTTTCCCCCCTTAATCTCTTCACCTTTCTCATCCAGTCCCTCAAATCCCATCCCCTCTGACACCTGTCAGTTTGTCTCTGTACCTATGAGTCTGTTTTTATTTTGCTCTTAGATTCCACATATAAGTGAAATCATATGGTACTTGTCTTTCAGTAACTGGCTTATTTCACTTAGCATAATACTTCCCAGGTCCATCTATACAGTCAGAAATAGTAAGATTTCCTTCTTTTTTATGGCCAATTAGTGTAAATGTACCACAGCTTCTTCATCCACTCATTTACTGATGGGCACTTGGGCAACTTTCAAATTTTGGCTATGGTAAATAATGCTGCAGTGAACATAGGGATGCATGTATTCTTTTGTATTAGTGTTTTGGATTTCTTCGGATAAATTCCCAGAAGTGAAATTGCTGGGCCATCCGCAGTTCTATTTTTAATTTTTTAAGGAAATTCTGTACTGTTTTCCACATTACCTGCACCAATCTGCATTCCTAACAACAATGCACAAAGGTTCCCATTTTAACCTGATCTTTGCCAACACTTGTTATTTGTTAATTTGTTGATGATAGCCATTCAGACAGGTGTGAGGGATGATATCTCACTGTGGTTTTACTTTGCATTTCTTTGATAGTTACGGACTTTGAGAATTTTTTCATATGTCTATTGGCCAGCTGTATGTTCTCTTTGGAGAAATGTCTATTCTGATGCAAATTTTAAAATTGGATTGTTGCTTTGTGTGTGTGTGTGTGTGTGTGTGTGTGTGTGTTTTGTGTGTGTGTGTGTGTGTGTGTGTTGAGTTATATGTTTTTATAAATTTTGGATATTAACCCCTAATCAGATGTCTCATTGGCGAATATGTTCTCCCATTTGGTGGGTTGCCTTTTCATTTTGTTGGTTTCCTTTGCTGTGCAAAAGCCTTTTAGTTTGCTGTAGTGCCATTTGTTTATTTTTTCTTTTGTTTCCTTTGCTCTAAGAGACATATCAGAATAAAATATTGCTACGAGAACTGTCCGAGATGTTACTGCCTATGTGTTCTAGAAGTTTTATGATTTCGAGACTTACATTTAAGTCTTTAATCCAGTTTGAATTTATTTTCCTGTATGGTGTAAGAGGTTGGTTTTTCTTTTCTTCCTTCCTTCCTTCCTTCCTTCCTTCCTTCCTTCCTTC